TTTGTAGAGGTATTATTTAGTGCATGTTTTTATATTATTTTTTTTTTGTGTATAGAGCTTAATCTAGGAATGTAATATGGAGAAAGTCACATTAATGTTACACCACGATACGCACAGGCGAGGGTATATATTTTTGATATAAGTTGTAATTTAATGTCTGTTATGACGGAAGTGACTATTTTACTTAATAGAAATTAGTATATTTGATAAAGAGGTTTCGAAAAGTAGTGAACTTCAACAACAAAAATTCTTTTAATGCTTTTTTATGTAAATAGAATTTTTATAAAATTATATAAAATACTATTTTAAGCTGAACTTAAAATTAAGTGCAGTTCTCAGTCCTTACAAAGACCAACTGTCTATCACTCTAGCTCTGAAACAAGCAATTTTTTTTTTAATTTAAAATTTTTATAAAGTCATTCTCCTCATCGTTGTCAACATATTTATTATCTGAAAATTGAGGCATCTGCACTTGCTGCTGCCACAGCATCAAGACTAGTACCAGTGAAGCATGTCATATTGGACATAAAATTTCTTCGCACTTTCCTTGAGAAGAGAAAAAAAAACTATTTACTTATAATCTATTGAAGTAATTGTATCTTGTAAGTACTTTATAAGCAAGTGTTGTGCGTTTCTTTTTGTAGTGAAAAATGAAACGAAAAATATCATAAAAATTGTATCTTATCTCAATTGTAATGCGTGTATGTTACGCTTATCGCTGCGAAAGTGTTTAAGTGCACATATGTAAGTTGATCTATGACTTCTACCGACTGCACATCACGCTGCACTTTGCTTACAAGTATCATCTTCACGCATCTGCAGCAGCGCATCAGTACCGCTTTAGACAAGATACTTCATATTATGCCCTTTGAGTAATTTCTATTTCAATTGCATATGTAACTGGCAGAAGTGCATCATCTTCTCCTCTAAACTGCATTTCTTTCAGATACATTTTTATCTCAATTAAAAGCAATGATACAAGTGTTGCCGCCTTTTTATTACTGTTTGGCACTTCTTGGAATTCATTTCTTTATTGCTTAATGCTTCAGTTTTAAAAAAATGTTTAAATTATTACTTTTATGTTGTGCGCTACTTAAGTTAAAGTATCTTTTTTCAAGATCTTCAATACTCGTATGTGTACTCAAAGCAAACATTTTCTGTTTGTGAATCAATGCGAAATGAGCACATTCATCTGAAGTGCCTTGATACAAAATGTAGTTGTGAATAATTGATTTGTTCAACTCGCTTTCATTTAAAAACATTTTTCATTTAGTGACGGTTAATGCACGAAGAGATGTATCTACTGTTGTACTAATGTATTAATTAAAGAAGTTTTGAGTCTCAACAGCAGCTGATTCGAAAGGTGTCTTATATTCAATACTTCACTTAACTTGTAGTTATTGAAAATAGTTCGTGAATGTTTAAAGAAACATAGTTAAAGCTTATTGTTTTTTATAAAATAAATAAATGGATCAAAAATTGTAACATTAACAGACTACATTATCATTAAGTGCCTAAATGATCATTTATTTGCTTATTTAAGAGATTTTAATTACCATTAGTGGTCCTTATGTTTAGATGCCTAATTTAGCCAGAATTTATTATCAAAAATATAAAATATTAATTTTTTTTAATATTTTTATTTTTAATGCTGGCAATGTGAAGAAGAGTGTTATATTTCTTAAGAGTAAGAGTGTCTATTAAGAGTGTCTATTTCTTTTGTATATACAGCAAATATCAGCTAATCCGAATCTTCAGTAATTCAGATTCTCTTGTAAACCGAACCAAATCAATAAATGGGAAATATTTCTTATAGTCTTTTAAACTAGATCATTAATACGCTAATCCGGAACACATGTTGTGAACATGTCCACTCGATAGTCTAGTAACACATATCACATTTATGACTGTTATACATATGTATATCTAATTTGCTTATAAACTTTACTTCACTTTCCATCATTTCAATAAATTGATATATAAATTAATATAAATCTATACAAATTCATTACAAATAAATTATATTAAATATAAGATTAATAGGATTATTAGATTAATTCTATAATCTATAAATCACAAATCAAATATACGTATAAACATATGTGTATAATACTTTTTCTGAAGTTTTAATAGGACTCACTCAATTCAAGTGTCTCATAATCTAAATTGTGATCAATTTGTATATGATTCCAAAACGTATAAATTTAGAAAATGATTTAATAAAAAAAAAACTAAAAAACAAAGACAGCAATTAAAAATTAAGTATAAAAGCATTAGCTGCTTTTTGTCACTAGATGGTATTGCTACTCTTATATATCGGGCCACACTAATCCGAATATGTCAAATGAACAAGTGTACACTAATGACATTGTGAGTGAATTCCTGACTCAGGAGTGATTTGCTCGCAAGGTGTCAATAGATAGCAGAGGCACTAAACATCACCCATATGAAAGTTTAGAATCATTTGAAAAGAGAAGGTTACTTTAATACATTCGATGCTTTGATAACAGATGTGTTAATGCAAAGAAATTTAATTGACCGAATTACCATTAGTAAAATTTTTAAAACATTTTTGAAGTGAACTACTACGTGTGATGAAAAATGGATTTAATACGATGTTTGCTTGAGTTTCGATTGTCTATTACGAGCTGTTTCGGTCTAACTAATTTGGTCCTCTACTCCTCACACCTAAACCGTTTGAAAGAAACAACAAAGGAAAAGCGAACAGAATTAGCCAACAAAAATAATGGCCGGATCTATGCCGCAAAGTCACTCGTGGAGTTTGACGATCAAGTGCCGTTCGCCACACATATAAGAGAATACTACAACAACAACAACAGAGAGGATTTAAATTTCAACACGGTTGATAAGTTTGGATGCATTCACCGTTTAGCCTGGATCCTGCATCATCTAACTACAAGTTGTTTGGGTCTCTGAAAAATCTTCTAAATGATTACAAATAGGCTGATCAAAGATTCGCTGAAAATCACTTAGCCAATTTTTTTGACTAGTCTAGTATGCGCTTTTGAGATTCCAGTGTTGAGATTTTTTGAACAGTGAACTATAGTTACTGCTGACAATCGAGTGAATAGAGTGGATTACATTACTACAGTTTATATATTTATTTCAATTTTATAGAGTATTTTTTCTTTTTGAATTTGTTGTCTACTTTTAGGTTTGATTTATATGAAACATTTCCTGTATTAAATGATACTTTTCTGTATTGTAAATGAAAAGTAATAATAATTAAAAGTAACTATATTTAAAATTTGAAACAATCTGCAAAATGTTGGGATGATATATTAGCCATAATTTTAACATAACACGAAATATTTTATTTTATTTTATTATATCTTATTTAGGCAATAACAAGTTGGTCGTTTTAAAAGTTCAATTAAACAACAGAGAAACTCCTAACCACGGTGTTTGCTCACAATAGTTACACACAACTACAACTACAACTACAATACAACAGAATCACCTCTAACAGCTATTATAGCAACCACTGTAATAATAACAATAACAACAACTATGCTATAGTCACAAACAACAGCATCAACAGCAGCAACAACAACTTCAGTTCGCAATACAAAAATAAACACATTTTCAAAATTTATTACAACAGGACTGGGTCAGTTCAATGACATAGCCCCGTTTCCCATTACTCCATAAGCTCAAAACTAAAATTGATACAAAATAAAGGAGAAAAGTTTTATCAGTTTTGCTAACAATACGCGCGTATAGTAACGCAGCAGCGCTGCTTACAGTGTAGGTGAGTTTGTACAACAAAATTGTTTATGTTGTATTGTTTTTGCTGGTCTATTGTTGTTGTTGTTGTTTTTTCGACAGTCAAAGTGTTGAAAATACCATTATTAAATATTTAGGAAGTTGGTCAAAAAAGTTGGGATTTGTTTTCTTCTTCTTCTTATTCTTCTTGTCCTTTCATAAATATTGTTTTTGTTTTAATTTTGTAACAGCTAAGGGCATTGAAAATGTGGTAATATTCTACTTTGATTTTTTTTTGTTGTAGCTGTTGTTTTTGTTATTGGTGAAAAAGTTTGGCTATATTTGAACATTATTCAATGTTCACAGCGAAAGTTTGACATAAGATCGCAGATAAAAGAATGTTGAGTAGAAGAGTGGCGTATCTGTTGTTAACAGAAAACAAAAGAAGGAAGATAAATGTTAAAATGTAATTATAAAGTGTTAAAATATTAAAAAGTAATCATTTTAACAATAGAAGAAATAATAAAAAAAATTAAAAAATAATAAAAAAAATTAAAAAATAAAATTAATAATAAATAAAATAAAATCATTATATTACGTACTCGAAACAGCGTTATATGGTTAGTCAAATTTAAATAAATAAATTAAAAATATTTTGTTGTTGTTTCTTCACTAGTGTTCGAATCCTTCTAATTTATAAATAGTTTCTTTTTGTCATAAGACGCATCATATTCGGTAGTAAAATTAAAACCACTACATTTTTAGTAATTAATTTAATAAAAGGAATCTTTTTAATAAATATATAAAATTTTAAAATTAGTAAATTTTTTATCAATTTAAGAATTTTGTCATAAATAAGTCAAATGCAAGCAAATATTTTTATTTGTTAGCATATGTTTCAGTGCATTTTTTGTTGACTAAGTATTCTGTAAGTTCTTATTGTTGACTGTCAGTTTGACATTTCAAAAGTTATGTGCGTCCCACTCCATTTCAAAATGCATTCAATGCATTCTGTGCAGCAAAACTCGAGAATCATCGCAGCTACCAAAGCTAAAAAGCAAGGGACGGCAAAAATTCTTTTCATAAAATTCATAATTCATACCAAAAATGAAGCAAAATTTATTATATATTATTTTTTTGTTTTTTGCTTGACTTAAAATAATAAAGTAAGGGGATATTTGTTGAGATATTTATAGTCGACGTATTTCATTGGATTATGTTTTATCGTGAATCAGATGAAAAAAAAAATTGTTTAGTATTTACGCTAAATTTACCTTTTATAAAGAAAGCATTTTTAACAAGTTGTCAGTCGTCAAAGTCAGCCAGAAATTCTGAAAAAAAAATAAAATAAAATAAAATAATTTTCAAAAAATAAACAATTCATTAGGGAGAAGGGTTAAATAACAATTTTATTTATCCTTTATGTTATTTATTCCTTCACATGACATTAATAATAATATCTTAGCATAGTTGACTTACAAATTAAAATGTATTTTTAAAGGGTTTAAAGTAAATTGTAATTAATTAGAAGCATTTTGATTAATTAAAAATAATGATTTGGGGATTCGTTCTATAATAAAGCGCATTTGTAACATTTAAATACTTTTGATTGACAATTAAAAATTTTATTAGCTTTTAAAACACATCATTAAGGACTGTAAAATAAAAATTGAATAAAAATACGAATTAAATTTAATTAAAAATTATTTGAAATAAAATTTCTCAATCAGTATAGGCAGGTAGGTGAAGTGAAAGGAAGATCGAATTCCTCTCAATTCATAAATGCAATTACCTAAACAATACCAATGTAATAAATAGCACTTAGTGAATTAAAGAATGGGGCAAACAAAAACTTATGCTTAGTTCTAGATAAGCATGGACTTAGCAGTTTCCTTCCGACTTAGTAGACTCCTTCTGACTAAGCATTCTCCTTCAGACAGCTGTCTCTTTCCTACGTAGCAGTATTCTTCCAGCTTAGCAGTGTCTTTTCTACTTAGCGGTCTAATTCCGACTTCGCAGTTTTCTTCTGACTTAGTAGTCTCTTTTTGGCTCAGATTAAAGCCGAGAAGATGTGATTTCATTTGATTTCAAGCAGACATTCTACCTCCTCGGACAAGCCCGTTTTGTTAAGATGATAATGCTGGCTACAATGACCACATGGACCTCTTACTCTATTTGAACAAAGTACATAGCACAGTTTTTAATCTTACTCATGTTAATTAGTTTTATTAAGCTTTCATAAATTACAAGATTTGTTAAGCCTTGGTGCATATTTGTGCTTTTTTAAGAAAATAACTGTATTTCATAGACATATAGCTACGAATACGTATGCAAAGTTTATTTTAGTATTTTTAAAAATTGCAATTATTTAATAAACTAAAATTAATAACATATTAAACTCATTAAAACCGAAATTAGTTTTATATTAATTACTCCAAAGCGCTTTCAAATAAAGTACTAAAAATTAAAAAATATTTTTCAATTTTTAAATTTGAAAATTTAATATCAAAATAATTAAATCTTAATTATTTTATTAAAATCTTATTAAAAAAATTTAAAGCATGATTGATTTTTTATTACCCAAATATCGTGCCAGGGATATGCTTGGGCAATCTTAGCCTCGATAATTTCAACAAGTTCAAGTTAAGCCAGATTGGTTGGTGCAGTATTGACAAGTCCAAACTGCTTGCAGATATATTATTACTTGACTTAGAATATACAGAAAAGTTTTAATATATTTACAAAAAAAAAAAGAAAAAATAAATATTGTGTATAATAATAATTTTATAATATTATTTCCATAAATGCAGTCAAACTGGTAGTTTGTGTTTGCGCTTGCAACTCCAATTGCAAGTTGAAGTTGCCAATTTCGCACTCGTAGTTGCAATTTACTTAGCGCTAAACATGTTAGGCTCGTTTTCAGATAGATACCAGATACATGGGTGAATGCAACTTTACATACACGCATTTAAATAAATCATCCACGTCAACTTCAAATTAACTTCAAATACCACAAAGTTGGGTCTAATCACTGATATTAAAAATGTGCAGTTACTTTGATAGGCGCTCGTAATATTGAAGTCAACATGTCTTTATGGTTATTTCAAAAAGCATCATTAAAATAATGAAACTTTAATAAAAATTGATAGCATATAATAAACTCGCATCTCAGTATCGGTCCATAATGCGTAATAAACAAATAAAGATGCTGCGCTGCACCGCATCAATTAATACGGTTCGATGAATTATGGATACTTCTTTTATGGCATGAGGTCAACAACATTTGTTCTTCACTATTTTATATCTTCAGTTTATATTTAATTATTAAATCATTAACAAATATAAATGTAGATACATTAGCATTAATTTATATAAAACAATAAACTCATTTGAAAATAATTTTTTGCAATCTTCGGTTCCAGCCTTTAATCCTTGTATCGTATTTAATCATATATGTATCTTCAATGTATCTTAACAATTTTTCTGTTTTAAAAATAAATTTCTAATTATAGCCGCAAATAATTTTTCAAGTTCAAAACTCTTTCATTGACTTTTGGTTTGTTTGCTTGCTCATTTGTTTACATCTTGCAGACAAAGTCAAGTTTAGGTCTTCAAGTCAAGGTTTCCCCAGGTTCAATTACCTCTTCGACTGCGTAGCGCTTGAATGAATATTCATTTTTTTTTTAATGAAAGAATCGCTTTGTGCTGGGAATTGCCAATAATGCAAAGTATCTCAACAAAACGACTACGGCTGCAAATTGCCGGAAATGTGCATGGGGTTCGGCAATTCGCTTCAAAGTTATTTGCTTATTTACGAGAACGCAAATCTTATGTTAACTTGTAAATTTCAAATAATTTGAAGTATTTTAAAATTTCATTAACAAAGTGGCTGTAACGAATTGAGCTTTAAGTGTTATTATGAATAGCTTAATACCACATACGACCATAAAATTGCAGATAATTCAATGTTACCACTTAAAAATATGCACTTTACAAAAGATATTCAGTGGGATTTTAATAATATTAATGTATAGATTATTTATCAGAAAATGTGTATGTCTAAATAATCATTTATATGAATTGATATTTAGCATTCATACATAATTAAAATATATCTATTATAATTAGCATTTAACATTAACACCTAGTCAATTATTTTTGATATTTATATATTATTATCATAGTAAAATATCTGATTATAGTTTCTAATAATTTATATACCATTTTTCAAAGTTATAGTTTATATATTTATGCTTATGTTAGTAAAACTATATGTGTAGATATACATATGTATATAACTATATTTGTACAGTTATAGTTAGTTATTTATGTATATACTATATATCTGTATACTATATACAGAGTGGCCCAAATAAATAGTAACCAATTTCAAATTACTTTGACTTTAGAGCTGGGATGGCAACACTGCACCCTTATTTCATCTATTAATAGCTGATTTTACGATTTAGAAGTAGCAATATTGCCTTTTGTAGTGAAATTCAAACATATTAATCTGATAGCGATATATCTAATCGAAAGTAAAGTAAAGTAAAGTAGGTTTTCTTTTTATATATTGTAAGTAAAATGAATTGTTAAAAGGCAAATGTATAAGAAAAAACTAGAACAATGAAAGTCTTATTGCAGATACATATATCAAAAAGCACCACGCAACGAATTCTCCAAAATAAATTCAAAAGCCATAAAAGATCTTTTCTTTATTGGTGTATTTGGAGCAAAGTTTATTTAAAGGCATCAAGTTAATACCATTTTCTACCGCAAAAAAGTATTTGAACGTATTCTCAAATTATAGCTTAAGTAATTAGACATAAACTATTTTAAGGTTGTGTACTCCACCACCAACTTATCAAAATATTATATTATGACGCATGCTAAAAGCTTAATGGTATATCAGAAATGTATATACTCAGACTTAAGAATTGAGACTGTACAAAAGTACATCCAAGACAGAGTGTTAAAATTGTTTGATTCTGTGTGCGCTTACACTAATTTAGAATTACACTCTCCAGAATTAAATACAATTTATGTACTGTCAGGAAGATATGCTGGGCTTTACCTATACTTCTGTTATAATTCATCTAAATAATTTATTACTATAATTTAACGGGGCTCTTGTTACAGTGAATCACCTAAGTGGTGACAGATACTATTGAGTAAAAGTGTTATAAACACTAATTCGCATTTTATCAAACAAAAAAGAAGATTAATTAATTAGTAATTAATTAGTGAAATTAATTATCTAATGAAACTGTTTTTTTTTTCAAAAATTTTTAGTTTAACATTTTATTGAGATTTTATTAATTAAAAAAAAATTGCCATCATAAGAAAAGGCACTAGAAAATTTATCAATGAAACTGATAAATTATCTAACAACGCATTGAGTTTAAAGAAATTTTCAAAATTTAGTTCAGTAGTTTGTTCTGTAAAACATAAACTACTGAACTAGTTCATTCAAATGAACTAAATTGTGCAGCTTTCAAGTTAAAATTTTTTTTCCCTACCTAATTGAAAAACTTAGAAGTAGTGATATACCACCAAAGAAAGAGATTTGTAATAAAGAAAGAGATTAGTAATATGTTTTAGTTAATAGTATATGAAGGACAATGAAACTGATAAGTTCACTAGCAACCCAATAAATTTGAAAACGTTGAAAGAATTTGACCAAAACAAAACAGAGTAATTAAATTTGGTGAAGGAGAAACAAAATTAATAAAATACCAATATAACATAATGTACAAAAAGTTGTATTTTAAGACCGGTAGTTCAGTAGTTTATTTTACAAAAAACAAACTACTGAACTAGTTCATTTAAATGAACTAAATTATACCACGCTAAAATATAGCCTATATTTTTCTCACTACTTTTTAAATATATTATGTTATAAATGGGTATGAATGACAACATTACTAGGTTTGGTGAGTTATATGAGTTTCTGGCCCGAAAAAGCTGATAGATACAATTTTTATGCAGATATCCGTAGTTACACATATTCACTTTTATATTATTTTTCAAGTTTTATGAATTAATTTTCAATTTATTTGAATTAAGCTGTGGTTATTTCATAGTTTTTGATTGTATATGTGTGTGGCTGTGTCTGTGTATATCTATAAACAATTTATTTTTTTGTAATTTTTTGTGAAAATTGATTTAAAAATGATGGAATCACGTAGCATGTGTGGATTTAATTAACACAATTTAAAGTGGGAACTTTGCAATACCTTGGAGCCACACACACTCACACACACATATGTGGAGGCTTAAGTTAATTATTTAAGCTGTCAAAATAACAACAAATATGAAATGAAAAACAAGA